CGGTACTCCCGGAGCTACCGAGCACTACCGAGGCCGCTGTGGACGCTGGACTCGTCCATCCGCCGCTACCTATGAGCGCGCTTTTCCTCTACGCCCTCTCCATCGTCGTGGGCTGGGTCCTTGAGGCCGTCATCCAGCCTACATCCGACCGCAGTAGCTTCCGGCTCCGACAATCGCTCTCACAGTACCCCTGACCTACCAAGGTCATTGCAGACGCTAGTCTCATTGAGCCTGCTGCTGGCCGTTTGTATACTCTCCGACCGGACACAGTTGCATCGGGCTCACGGCGCCCAATAGGCGCTTTGACAGTACGCCGAGACTACTGAGCTTTACCAAAGCCGCTGAGGACCGTGGTCTCGTCCCTTCCGGCGCTACCTCTGAGCGCGCTCTTGCTTTACACTCTCCCCGTCGTCGTAGCCCAGGCCCTGGTGACCGGCAACGACTACCTCCGTCTCAGGATGCCCGTTATGCGCATTGGGGGTGCTCCCGGGCCTATTGACCTCCACCGAGGCCTGGCACCATACGAAATGGACTTATGCCAGTTCATCGATCAACATCATTGGCGAACCAGCGGTGACAATTGCGGTCGGGGAATCAATCCGCGTCATATCACCGCGCGGGCACGCACCTTGTCGATAGTGCATATCGTTACGATCCTATGACCAAATCGTCGAAATATGCGTGTTCGAACACGGGGCGTAGGAACATCCGTGTCACTTATCTTCGCTGGCCTGTTTTCAACTACCTTCTTTGGCTATTGGACATCGGTATTGCAAGTATGAGCGGTCGACGCCAGCAGTGGTCTATAGATGATTGTACGTAGAGTAGCCTGATTAATGTGAATGGATGGTGTCGTAACTAGTTATGTCTATCGCATCGGGTGCTCGCTCAAGACCTTGGCTTCGAGGTAGGCCATAAAGCCTTGGTCATCATCCCCCTGTCTCAAAATATCCCTGCGTATGCGGGTACGCTCAGCTTTACAGGATATAGTCAAGAACTTGACGTATTCGCGGTGAACCTTCTCCCTATATATCATGAGTACGATCCGGCTCACAACTTCCATGGAATATACACACAAGTGATCAAGAAGCTCTTGACGATAGAATGACTTTGGCGGTCGAGTGCACCCTCGCGGGATTAGCGGACATGACAATGATCGATGAGGGTCCTCCGCTGCGAGATAACCACGACGCTTCTTTTCCCGTTCGTGACGAAGGTCTGTGGGATGACCGATGGCGGTGGCAGGTCGCTTCAAACTTGAAGACGGGGCCGCAGTCTGAGCTGGCATAGCTGGATCTGGATTCGAAGAATGAGGGTCTACGGCAAGGTTAACCGGTGCTATGCTTTGTGTAGCGATGTCTCAGGCGCACCAGACGAGGCGGCCAGTGATAGTTCGTCAAGAGCAGGCTCATCCATGATGGGGTCTGTCACGGTCTCCCTAGGGGTGCTCCGCTGATCATCGAACTCTACGTTATCATGTTGAGTGAGAACGTCGTATCGGGAGTTGAAGGCAAGCACATACGTGTGTCGACCTTGATAGGAACTTGAAGGTAAGCTGGAGCTGCAGAATAATGGCACGTCCAGGGGGAAGAAGATGGATCGGACCGGGCAGAAAGATATTCTTCTGTCTGTGAGCGCACAAACGTCCACCAGCACATGGGCGCGAGTTGTAGGACATCCTCAGCATCCGTGTCGTTTATAGCCAGCCGATGATCCCGCAGTTCCTCGCCGATCCGTTCCGAGTGTAGAACATTGGCAGCCGCGACGAAGTCAACAGCCATCTTGATGCAGGAGGACAAGTTCGTAACCTGGCTACTCATCAAGCCTGGCTTCGCACTGAAGACAAAGATAGACTGACTTGATGTCCGACGCCCGCCGGGATGAACACGGCCTGGCCTTGTTTCTGAACGATGGTCCATACCCTCACTTTCGCATCTCGAAGACGGTCTACATCGCTTGGAGTAATGACGAGCTCCTGCGAGTGAATAGGGTTCCCTTCGAATGCGCCCATCTTCCATTGACGTAGCAAACTCTCAGCTTGTGCCATGTCATCTCGACATATCATTATCCATAAGGCTCCCCCTTCCGTATTATTGCGTCCACGTTGTGCAGAGAACGAGATATTGACCGCATCGCACATGTCACAGTGCAAGCGCGTAGTGGTGCCCCCTCTCGCCGCATGTGCAAGATACGCTTTCGGTCCTAAAAGAAAATGAGGTGACACGATATCTGTAGAGACAGTGCACGTACCAGTATCAGGGGGGCAAGAACCGATTGGCATATTTGTTTCGAGATTTAGAGCCCCGAATTTCGAAGTCAATATTGGACCAACCAGGGCTTCCTGGAAGATCCTGAACATTTCGGGGAAGGCGACGGGTAAGTCTTTTGTTGGCGGCCAGTCCTAAAAGAAGCTCATTCATAGTTTCGATAACACATGGATGGGCGCACCTTGAGTTTCTCCGGTTCAACTAGAGCGTCAGGGTTGCCAAAGTCTTGCATGAATTCCTCCAGCGCGAGAGTCCTCGCAGTACCAGAGACCGTATTGACGACCGTAACGATTTCTTTACCATGTCTCTTAGTGAAGTAGGCGGGTGTGAGGTTACTTTCACCGGGATTAATCCCGGACACCACCATGGGAACACCGGAGGCAAGCGCACTATAAAGGGTGCCGTATGATGGTAGGCCAGCGCCATCGGACAGTTCGATGTTGACAACCTCCGCATTAGGCGGACAACGCCTGGGCTCACTGAGGGAATGGTCAAGAACGTATCGATACTCTGCGCGTGATAACATACATAGAAGGGGCGGAATCCAATGAAACGAGAGCATTCTCCAGCTCCATAGGTCGGAAGAACTCGAGCAATACGAAGTCGTGGCCATCGGCAGGAGAAAGACGGGAATCACAATGAGAGGCAACCTGACTTCGCGTTAGCTTTGCAGGAATGGAAACAGTTCATCGTACCCACAAGGCCTTGCTGCATACAGCTATCGCACACTTCAATGCCACAGAGCTTACACGACCGCACGCCGCAAAGACACGACATGCGACAGCAGTCTTTGAACGCCTGTCAGATTGGTCTTCCCGCGCATATAGGAAACATTCGTACCGCAGATGAGTCGCTCTCCATTCAACTCAGGTGTTCTAGCGATCGTGGCTGACTGGTACTCTTCCCGTAAGACGCGATGGCGGTTGAGAATCCGGCGCAGGATGGGTGCAATTCCGCTCTGTGGACGTGAGCGCTGTGTCCGTGCAACTTATGCTGGAGCTCACAAGACAATGTTCTATTATCTCCTGTGTGAGATGCGGCGAGGCGGGGGCAAATTCCGGAACGACGTGAGCGCTGTGCTCGTATGGTTTGACTTGACTCAGGGTACATTGCCGTCCAATGATGGTCACGACGAAGCTACGTTGAAGAATGCGGCCGTCCTTCGCTTTCCCTAGAGCCCTACGTCAGCATGTACGGCCGGAAGGTTGTGGTATTCGGACTACAAAGCTTACTGAAGAACAGACAACCCGGTTCTTCACTATCTGACTGCTCTCCGTCGTCCGACTCCTCCTCCGCGTCTTCGAGTTGCTGGCAATATCTGCATGCGCGTATCTGGCTTTTGACGAACGTTAGAGCGCGGCTTTCCCTGTCTCTCACCACCAAGAACTCTTTGCACTTGGCATACTGGAGGACCGTAACCTTCTTCTTCTTCTTCATAGCGAGCAGAACGGCGCTCTGTATGGTGGGATGTGCGAAGTCGCGGCGGGTCCGCGTCGAAGCAAATGTTTCAAACAACCCGATGACTGATTGCGCGTGGTGATTGGATGACGTTGGGGAAGCTCCGACCGTAGCAGGCAGTCACGTTTGAAAGCGACTGGTGTCGGACTTGGATTCCCATGTACCAAAGTAGCATTCGCTTGCGATCACGTTAAAGGCTTGGGCGCTCAGGCTTCAGGAGCGGCCAAAGCGCCCCGAAAGCGTCGGAAGCCAAGCACTAGCGCGCGCAGCCTTCACCGCGTAAGGTTTCGCATGCGAGTCCGGCAAGCAGCGTTAACCGGGGTCAAGTCGTCCGGTCAATATGACTGCGTCCCTTCCAGTTATCGGCTCTGGTATTGCAGCAGCTTTCCCCGGTGCCTCCAGATAGAAATTGAAGAGGAGGGTAGGCGGGTTGAGGAGGGCAAGCCCGGCATCATCGCGGGAGTGCGTCTGGTGTCACCCTCTACCTGATACTGGGTGCAGTTGTGGGATGATGTATTACTAACACGTGTTTAGTAGTATCAAGGCTGCTTATACTTTTATGAAGTGACTGGTCCGTATGAAGGTAGTCAAGATTTCGGACGAACGTCTCGGCAACCGACACGCCACGACTGTACCGAAGATTCACCGCGCGCGGTCGAAAACGCTGTATCGTTATTGCTCCTGCCAGTGGTGAACATTATCAAGGATAACACACATATCCGCCATGTTCGACCCGCGGACTGCACCTCATTTTCGGGCTAAAAAGCCCCACGCGCCAATGTTGTTTGGTGCATGCACCCCTGTAAGCCAGTGAGCACGTCCCAACGTACCGCGTACCGACCGAACTGATATAGTTGGCGAAAGTCAACTCTATTGTCTGGCTTCAAGCCAATCAATAATGTCACGCGGGCGCCGCCATCGCCAAGCGCGCGAATCTGGATCTAGCTTAGGGATCACTTGGGTATTAGTATGAAGTTCTGTAAGTAGTAACTGCGGTCAGGCTTCTAATCTGAAGTGCGCCTCAGTGAAGTGGACGAGCTACTTTAGAACCAGCGTATAGGTTGAAAAGGCAAAAGCTGATGCCGCAAACTTGAAGACGGACATCTCAATGTAGGACCTCGCAGATGGCGCGATGCAGGTTGATAGATGAAGTCGTGGTTGGCTAGGAAAACGCAAGGAGGTGGTGGATCGGTCGCGGTAACTGATAAGCCATGACAGTCTAGGACATGAAGCTAACGGCTGCACGCGTGCACGAGTGAACATGGTAAAAGACGGCCTGTCCCGCATTCATATGCGGGTATCCAAGGATGGCGAGGTTCCGAATACCTAAATGAGACGACTTTGTACATTCCAGTGGCGGTATGCAGCACATAGCGGCGGATGTAGACAGGAAGATTGGAACGGCGGGAGCGTGAAGCGTCGCAAGGGTTTGACGCGAGCTTGGTGGCTGAAAATGCCCGC